TAAATGCCATGAAAAGATATATATATATATATATAGTTGTGCATACATTCAGATGGCCAACAGACACATGAAAAGATGTTCAACATCACTAATCATCAGGGAAATGTAAAAATTGCAAATCAATACTACAATGTACTATCACCCCACACCTGTCAGAGTGGCAAAAGTAAAGAAACACAAGAAATAGCAAGTGTTGGCAAGGATACAGAGAAAAAGCACTGTTGATGGAAATGCAAACTGGTGCAGCCCTTGTGGAAAACAGTATGGAATTTCCTCAAAAAATTAAAAATAGAACTACCCCATGATCCAGTAATTTCACTACTGGATATTTACCACCCCCCCCAAAAAAAACCACCAAAAAAATACTAATTCAAAGGGATACACGCACTGTGATGTTTATAGCAGCATTATCTACAATAGGCAACATATGGAAGCAGCCCAAGTGTCCATCAATAGATGAATGGATAAAGAAGATGTGATTATATAAATATACACATAGATATAGATAGATATAGATATTCCCCAACCATTCTAAAGAATGAAATCTTGCCTTTTGCAACAATACGGATAGAGCTAGAGAGTATAATGCTAAGTGAAATAGTCAGAGAAAGACAAATACCATATGATTTCACTCATATGTGGAATTTAAGAAACAAAACAAACAAGCAAAGGAAAAGAGAGAGAGAGACAAACCAAGAAACATACTCTTAATTATAGAGAACAAAATGATGATTACCAGGGAGGAGGTGGGTAAGGGGATTGGTAAAACAGGTGATGGGAATTAAGGAGTGCACTTGTCATGATGAGCAGCAGGTGGTGTACAGAATTGTTGAATCACTATACTGTACACCTGAAACTAATACAACAATTGTGTTAACAATACTGGAATTAAGATTTTTAAAGAACTAGAAGAAAAATTAGAACCAGAAAGAAAGAAAGAAAGAAAGAAAGAAAGAAAGAAAGAAAGAATTGTGTAGACAGAAAGACTGAGATCCATAATGTGGAACCACTTATTTATGTAAATTGGAATACTTCCCATTGTACATTGAAGGAATAATACATATACAAGGACATATTATTGAGTGCATTAGAAAGGCTGGAGTGGAACATGAGTGGATTTTAGGGACAGGGAGAAAAAAACATGTGACTATAAGATGATATTCAACTCAGCCACTGCAAGGAGACAACACAAAGAGACACCAGGTTGGAAGATGGGGAGTCTGAAAGCAGATGCTATTAGGAGTCCATGTGAGATCAGCACACAAAGACAATATTAAGGATGGTTTGGGAGGAAGTCCAGTGGTACAGTTTGCTTTGCAGAAATAGCAAATAAATATACATTTCATTTTTAAAAAGCAGGTTGATATTCATGGTCACATTTGCAAGACAGAATGGTATAGATTTTCTGGTAGATGCAAAAATATAAGTTGCAATAGTGCTTGCCTATGTGTTTCAGAGGATGAAAGAGCAGACCTAGGCCGGCCAACTCCATCTTGTTCTGTATCCTCCATCTTGAGTGACTATGTCCCCGTCATGGCCGCAGAAAGAAGTTTCCTCTCAAACCTCAGACCACGCCTCCTCCCCTTGAGTAACTTCCCACTCACCCGTTCAAACTTCCCGATCAAACCACGCCCAGCAACCTGCGTGACGGGACTCTGACCTTTCCCCAGCCAATCAGCTAGCAAGCCAATCGGCTGAGGCCACGACCCTTCCCCAGCCAATCGGCTAAGGCCATGATCCCTATAAAACCTTTGTGCTTTTGAAACCCGCTCTCTCTCTCTCCGGTATCTCACCGCTGCGTCGGTGCAGGTGGGGGATTGAGCTCGAGCTAGCTCGAATAAAGGTTCTTTGCTTTTGCATCGGACTCGGCTCCCTGGTGGTCTTTGGGGATCACGAATTCTGGGCATAACATTTGGGGACTTGCCCGGGTCCCCAAGACCCCAGAGGGACCCCCGACCCGGAGGGCCTGATTGGCCACAGTCAGCGTCTGTTCGTTCCCTGTCTCTTCTGTGTGAACTCATTTCTGAAATTCTGGTGGTGCCTGGCACAGTCTAAGTGGACGCACTGGAGGACCACGGGCTGGGGGTTTTGGAAGACGTTCCGATCCTCCCTTCTGAGGGACGTGGAATCCCCTCAAAGGTCTGAGATGAGGTGGGTCACTCCTGCCGGTCGGTGTGAGGCCGTCATCTAGCTTTCGGTTTTGCTTCCACGGAGTTAGAAGACTGTTTCTAAGGGCCCTCTGTTTGTCTGTTTCTGTGTTTCTCTGTTTTGTTCTGTGGACTTACTGGATGGACGTTATAGGACAGACTCAGACTACCCCTCTAACCATTATGATTGATCACTTTAAGGATGTCAGCCAAAGAGCTAACAACCTCAGTGTGGAAGTCCGAAAGGGTCAGTGGCAGGTTTTTTGTTCTAGCGAGTGGCCGGCTTTCAATGTCGGATGGCCGCCAGAGGGAACCTTCGACCTCCCAGCATCCACCGAGTCAGGGGTATCATCTCTCGGCCTAAGATGGGCCATCCTGATCGGCTCCCTTACATGATCACTTGGCAGGACCTTGTAGAAGGCCCACCCTCTTGACTTAAGCCCTTCCTAGCCCCACGCCCTCTGGAACCAAAACCCATTCTTGCTTTGCAGGGGACAGAGAAGAAGGAGAACAAGAAAAGTCTTACCCAGCCTTCAGCACCCCTCTACCCTGTCCTTTGAGGGGGAACTGAAAAAGAATTAATTTTTCCTCCCCCGTATAACCCCTCTAGGATGCCGGAAGAACACCATCCTCTCCCTCCGGGGGAGGCAGACGCCGTTCCGAGAGCGGGAGGCGGAAACGCTCCAGTGGGAAGGCCGCCCTTTACCAGACAAAGGGCTCAGAGGGAGCAATCCGCCTCCGCCTCCGACTCCACTACTCTGCCCCTGCGAGCCACCGGACCCCCAGACACGGAGGGGAATCAGCCCCATCACTATTGGCCTTTCACCACTAGTGACCTCTACAATTGGAAAGCTCAGAATCCTAAGTTTTCCGAGAAACCTTATTGATTTATTAGACTCTGTTCTTTTTACCCATCAGCCCACGTGGGACAATTGCCAGCAGCTTTTGCAGGTCCTGTTCACGACTGAGGAAAGAGAAAGAATCCTCAATGGGGCCCGAAAACTAGTTCTGGGCGCAGACGGGAATCCCACCACCAACCAGGCTCAGATAGATGCCTCCTTCCCCTTAACTCAGCCCCAGTGGGATTTCAACACAGCAGAAGGTAAGGAGAGGCTCCGGGTCTACCGCCAGACTCTAATGGGGGGTCTCCAAATGGCTGCTAGAAAGCCAACCAATTTGGCCAAGGTAGGAAATGTACAACAGGGAAAAGATGAATCTCCAGCTGCCTTTTTAGAACGGATCATGGAGGCATTCTGTACCTATACCCCCATGGATCCAGAGGCTCTGGAAAGCAAGGCAGCTGTTATCATGGCCTTTGTAAACCAATCAGCCATAGACATTAGGAAAAAATTACAGAAAATAGATAGGCTAGGAGAAAAAAGTCTGCAGGACTTACTGGTGGTAGCCGAAAAGGTATATAATAACCGGGAGCCTCCTGAGGACAAGCAGGCTCGCGCCATGGCGGCTGCCAGCAGTAAGCAGACTCGAGACCTGGCCAGAATACTACTAGCTACCACTGCTGATTCCCCCAAGGAATGAGACCGCCGTCTCTGGCAGCTGGTGGGCGACTCAAGAGGAGGTAAAGGAACCACCAAGGGGGGGAAGCAGAGGCTGCAGAAAGATCAGTGTGCATACTGCAAGGAGATAGGGCATTGGGCCCGAGAGTGTCCGAAAAAGGCCGGCAGGAAGGGAAGCAAGATTGATCGAGTAAAAGTCTTAGAGCTAGATGAACTGAGTGATTAGGGGAGTCGGGGTTCAGACCCTCTCCCCGAGCCCAGGGTAACTCTTAAAGTGGAGGGGACCCCTGTTGACTTCCTCGTCGACACTGGAGCACAACATTCAGTCCTCTGCACCCCACAAGGAAAGCTAGCCAACAAGAAGTCCTGGGTACAAGGGGTAACTGGTATGAGCCAGTAATCATGGACTACCCGAAGAACGGTAGATTTGGGGACGGGACGGGTATCCCACTCCTTTATGATAATACCGGAATGCCCCTACCCGCTGTTAGGATGGGACTTACTGACCAAGATTGGAGCTCAGATAACTTTCAGACAAGGGGGGCCTCAGGTCACCGATGCCAAGAGCCACCCCATCCAGGTCCTGACCATAAAACTAGAGGATGAATACCGCCTCCCCCAGGAGGTGCTCCCGAGAGAAGATAATATAGACAGATGGCTACAAGAATTCCCCTCGGTTTGGGCAGAGATGGGCGGGATAGGACTAGCCACTCACAGGACCCCGGTCCTGGTAGAGCTCAAGCCAGGAGAAGGTCCGGTAAGGATCAAACAATACCCCATGTCTCAGGAGGCCCGGAAGGGGACCCAGTCACACATCTGGAGACTACGAAGCCTAGGGGTACTAGTTCCTTGCCAGTCTGCCTGGAACACCCCCCTGCTGCTGGTCAAAAAGCCTCACACAAATGACTATTGACCGGTACAAGACCTCCGGGAAGTAAATAAGAGGTCGCGGACATACACCCAACTGTTCCCAACCCATATACTCTCTTGAGCTCCTTGGCGCCCTCCAGGGTCTGGTATACTGTACTAGATTTAAAGGACGCCTTCTTCAGTCTGCCGCTGGCACCCCAAAGCCAACCCTTGTTCACCTTCGAGTGGCATGATCCGGAAGAGGGCTACAGCAGACAACTCACCTGGACACGGCTGCCTCAGGGGTTCAAAAATTCGCCCACCATCTTCGACGAGGCACTACACAAGGACCTGGGTGAGTACAGAAGGGAGCACCCTGGCCTCACCCTTCTACAGTATGTAGATGACATCCTGATTGCTGCCGACACGGCCAAGGACTGCGAGCAAAGGACCCAGGACCTGCTGGCTACCTTTGGGGCCTTGGGGTACCGGGCATCCGCAAAGAAGGCTCAGATATGCAGGAAGAGGGTAAGTTACCGGGGATACATCCTGGAGGGCAGACAGCGGCGGTTATCAGATGCCAGAAAAGAAACTGTCCTAAAGATCCCTACTCCCACTACCTGAATGGAAGTAAGGGAATTCCTAGGATCGGCCGGCTACTGCCACCTCTGGGTTCCGGGTTTTGCTGAGATCGCCAGGCCTCTATATGAAGCTACCAAAGAGGGGAAAACATTTAAATGGACTGAAAAAGAAGAAACTGCCTTTAATCAGTTAAAAAAAGGCCCTCCTAAGTGCCCCAGCCCTGGGCCTACCAGACATTACGAGGCCCTTCCACCTCTTTGTAGACGAACACAAGGGAATAGCAAAAGGGGTTCTAACTCAAGCCTTAGGCTCCTGGAACCGCCTGGTGGCTTACCTGTCCAAGAAGCTAGACCCAGTGGCTGCCGGCTGGCCGCGATGCCTAAGAATTATTGCGGCGACAGCACTCCTAGTCAAGGAGTCAGACAAACTGACCCTAGGACAGGAGATCTGGATCACGACCCCACACGCCATTGAAGGGGTCCTGAAACAGCCTCCGGATAGACGGATGAGCAACACACATATGACTCATTACCAGAGCCTCCTACTCAACCCTCCACGGGTGCGGTTCCACCCCTTTGCGGCCCTCAATCCTGCAACCCTGCTGCCTGACCCCAAACTAGATGCTCCACTACATGACTGTGGGGGGATCCTGGAGCAAGTACATGGATTCCAGACGGATCTGACTGACCGGCCCCTCCCCGATGCCGAGGCTACTTGGTTCACTGATGGCAACAGCTTTGTGCAGGATGCACACAGGTATGCGGGTGCAGCGGTGGTCACCAAAACGGACACTGTATGGGCAGAGGCTCTACCCTCCGGAACGTCAGCCCAGCGAGCAGAGCTCGTCGCCCTTACCAAGGCACTAACGCTGGGAGCTGGAAAACGGCTTAACATCCACACAGACAGCCGTTATGCATTTGCCACAGCTCATATTCATAGGGCAATTTATCAGGAGGGGGGTTACTGACGGCAGAAGGACCAACTATAAAAAATAAGCAGGAGATACTTGACCTGCTTACAGCCTTATGGCTTCCTGCCAAGCTGGCCATTATCCACTGCCAAGGGCACCAGAAAACTGATAACCCGGTAGCTAGAGGTAATCAAAAGGCTGACCAGGCAGCCAAGGCAGTAGCCCTTACTTCAGTCCCCACCATGACCATACAACTACCGGACCCAGGAGACCCAGTTTTACCAGACCAGCCCAAATACTCCCAGGAGGAGTTACAGCGGATCAAGAAACTCCCCATGGCCCAGGAGATAAAGGGATGGTGGTATACCCCTAACAAGGAGCTCGTGTTGCCAGACCAGCTCAGAGTCTCAATATTAGAGCACATGCATCGGTCTACTCACATGGGGGCCCGGAAATTAAAAGACTTAATCTGACATGCCGGAATCAAGATTCACCAACAGGACAACAAAATAGAGCAAGTTGTATCTGCCTGCAAGACCTGCCAACTCACCAACGCGAGGGCCACATCAAATCAAAGAACCAGGCTCAGAGGCACCAGACCGGGAGCCCAATGGGAAGTCGACTTCGCTGAAGTCAAACCAGGAAAGTATGGTTATAAATATCTTTTAGTATTTACAGACACCTTCTCTGGCTGGGTGGAGGCATACCCAACCAAGCATGAAACAGCTCAGACGGTGGCTAAGAAGCTACTAGAAGACATCTTACCCAGGTATGGTTTTCCTGCCATGGTAGGATCAGACAATGGACCAGCTTTTATCTCGCAGGTAACACAGGCAGTAGCCAAGGCGGTGGGGGCAAACTGGAAATTACATTGTACTTATAGGCCCCAGAGCACAGGACAGGTAGAAAGAATGAATAGAACCCTAAAAGAGACCCTTACCAAATTAACCATGGAGACTGGCGGGGACCGGGTGACTCTCCTACCGTACGCCCTTTACTGGGTTAGAAACACTCCTTACACTCTGGGTTTTACTCCCTACAAGATTATGTTTGGCAGGCCATCCCCTGTTATTCCCAACCTTCGAGCTGAACTTATTGCCGAGTTTAAAGATCAAGAACTTTTTCTTTCCTTGAGAGGGCTCCAGAGGGCGCACGAGGACCTTTGGCCACGCCTCCGTGCCATCTATGAGGCTGGCCCGACTCCGACACCTCATCAGTACAGGCCAGGAGACTGGGTCTACGTCAAGAGGCACCACGGTGAGACCCTCGAGCCGCGCTGGAAGGGACCCTACATCGTGATGCTGACAACCCCCACCGCTCTCAAAGTAGACAGCATTGCGACCTGGGTCCATCACACCCACGTTCGGCCAGCGGACCCCTCCTAGATCCGGAAGGACTTCGTCACACAATGGGCCATCTTTCGGGACCAACACAACGTGCTCAAGGTCAAGTTACAGTGCATTCGACCCACCTGATATTGGTAACTCTGTTAACTCTGCTTGTCATTGCTCATGCTGCCGGGAGTCCCCACACCCCCCAAAACTTTACCTGGCAGATCATAGACACCAGCTCAGGGACTGCGTGGGGGCCGTCCAACTAATGGTCCTCTGTGCTCAGTACAAGCCCCTAATAACAGGAGAGGACAAAATAGAAATGCAGCCGGTCCCATGATTGGGTCCGCAATACATGACAAGGGGGGAATGAAAGAGCAGACCTAGGCCGGCCGACTCCATCTTGTTCTGTATCCTCCCCTTGAGTAACTTCCCACTCACGCGTTCAAACTTCCCGATCAAACCACGCCCAGCAACCTGCGTGACGGGACTCTGACCTTTCCCCAGCCAATCAGCTAGCAAGCCAATCGGCTGAGGCCACGACCCTTCCCCAGCCAATCGGCTAAGGCCATGATCCCTATAAAACCTTTGTGCTTTTGAAACCCGCTCTCTCTCTCTCTCCGGTATCTCACCGCTGCGTCGGTGCAGGTGGGGGATTGAGCTCGAGCTAGCTCGAATAAAGGTTCTTTGCTTTTGCATCGGACTCGGCTCCCTGGTGGTCTTTGGGGGTCACGAATTCTGGGCATAACAAGGAAAGGTTGTTGCAAATAGTAATCTGATAGCCCAGGGGCCATTCATGGGAGCCTAAAAATGGGAATGTTAGAATTGAGACTGCCATTTCACCAAAAACTCTACAATGGATCTGTAAAGGAACTGCAAAAACCCCTGAACAGTACATCACACACAATGATACATACTTGGCCTAGTGCTCTTCTAGAAAAAACAGCTCAAGACTGTCAGACATTTCGTCAGGCACATATGAGAAGGAAGAAGATCCAACCACTTAGTAATCCTATTGTTTTAAAATTCCTATGTAAAGGAGAAGAGGTATAGTACCAGTTTGGCCATTTAGTACGTGAATTATATACGATTTTAGATAGGGCTCTTTAGACTAGAGACTCATCTCAGTGTCTAACTGCTGAAAAGGGTGCAATAAAAATATATTTAAGGCCCTGTGGAATTAGCAATGACCATTAAAGCTGTACTACTTAAAGAAAAATTCATAATTGAATGAGATTGCTTTGGTCTCACTGTAGTACTCACATATAACTTGGGAACAGGCAACTCCTAGTGATACAAAATACATTTTAATTATTTGCCTACATTTGGGGAAGTTTTTGAAAGCTACCAATAACAACAGGGAATACCAAAGTAGGATTTTATTTAAGAGGACAAAGTATATGGTAGAGGAAAAGGTAAAGAGTCAAAATGTTCTTGTCTCGTTACTGATTTTGGTAATAAAATGTTTCAACACAGGGTTTTGGTCTCCACTCTACTGTGGTGCTCAAAACTTCAATGCATTGGAATCTGTGCACCATAAGAACTTCGTAAAGATGTCAAGATAAAATGCCTTTCCTTCACTGTAAAACAGTTATGACTTGCTGAGGACACAGTCATCACACCGGTTGCAAATGCTCTACAGATGGAAACCCAGAATTATATTAAGGGACAGATGCAAGCAGGATGCATTATTAACAGATGCACTATGTAGCCAAAATGAGAAACATTCACTTTGAATTATGTTGGAGCAAGGTGGGGTGGGGAGTGGGTAGGCAGGAGGTAAAGAGAGATTCCCAGCTCACTCATAGGATTCTTCTTTCAGGCTATTTGGCATATCTTTATATGCCAGAACAAAACTTAAGATGTATCCCTTGGCTATACATCCTGGTAGGAAATAGCCTTTGGCACACCACCATCTAGTGGCATCCAAGAAGAACTCGAAAAGCTCTTTTTGGTTTTTTCTTTAAATTCATTGGAGCAGAGGAAGTGGAGCTTAGGCAGCCTGAGAACCTCCTTTCATTTCACTCTAAGCCCTCTGTAAATAGGAGGCACTCCCACTGGACTTTAATAATGGCCATCAGACTGCCCTCATCTGAATGAATCCTGCTGCCTTTCATCATCTTGAGTGAGGATAATAGTATCTATCCCTAAGTCTGTTGTGAGAATAAAAAGGACTCATATGTGTAGTGCTCATGACTGTGCCTGGTGCGGAGTAGGCACTCAAATATCCTCAGCAGCAATGACATTCCATGCTTAAAAATTCAACTCACCACTCATTAGAGTTAAACCAAACCATCTAGGCCTATCAGGCTGCCCTACCGCCACCATCCACAAACAGGCAGCAGCACGTCACCGAGCAAGAGCAGAAAAAAAGAGATGAAGGAAAAGTTCCTTCCTTTCCCTATTTTTAGAACATTATTCTTTCCATGACCCTCAAACAATTGGTGTTAACCATTTTGGGTTTCAGAAACACGTCTGGGAAAACATGGATTCACTGGAAAAATGCATACAAATCTTACATTTGATTTGGGGAGGTTCACTGAGCCCCCAAGCTTATTCCCATGAACACCAAGGTAAACACTGCCTCACTGAGAGACTGCAGGGCCATCAGAATGATGGGGAGGGGCACTTTCCCTCCAGGCCCTCTTTAAACTCCTTACTTGTAGTGATGTGGGGAAGAGTTCTTGGTAAATACAGGGCCTGCTTTATGTGTGTTCTCATCTCTGCCCTGGGGTAAATGGTCTTGCCATTCATTAATTCACAGAGAAAAAGCTAACAGAAATCCTTTAAAGCTGCAGTAGTATTTTAGGTGTGTTCTCAAGCTTTACCCTCTCCTTTCTCCAAACCAGAAATAAGGTCTTGGGGACTTCTCTAAATGCAGTATGACAGCTGTAAGCAGAGGATGAAAGGTCTGTAAAGTAAACTGACATTAAGATCCCAGACCTCTGTCAGGTAATTTAGGGTTTTAAATAATAAATAGAACAGGTGTCCAAGATTGCCAGCAGGCCTGGATACTCATATCTTCATGAAAGCCACATCTTCTACGAAAGAAGTGCCCAAGCATGGGTGACCTAAGCTGTTGCTCACTGAAAACCACAGGACTTTCCCCTGCCCTATCACCAATCAATTCTGAGCCATGGCAGCTATTTGTTGAATCACAGTGGACCTCCTCAAATTCAAAAGCTGTACATGGTTCATTGTGATTTGGGGTGTCACTTAATGTAGTTTTAGATAGTTGAATAATTTTAGGGACATTATCTGGTCCAGATGAGCGAATATGCATGGTCAAACATTCTGTCCTTGCCAGGTCAAATATATCACAAACCCAAGCAGACTGCAGGATAAAGCAGGAAGAAGAAGGTTGGTGTCGGTGGAGATCTTTTGATTTTCTCCCCTCACGTTCCCAAGAGAAGCTAACATTCCATTTTCTAATTTTGGTCTCAATTTTATTAAGTTGTATTCAAGCTAAATAATGCCTCTGTGGACAATCATGCCGTACTAAGCCTAGTCATCTTTCTGATCAACCATGATCCCTATCTTTCCCTTTGTCTCCCAAACACTGGAGCCATCCTTCATATCTTACATTTTCTTTCATCCTTTCTTATACTTTTCTGTTCCTTTCATCTCATCTTTCATCTCAGGAATTCATTCTTTGGCTATATCTACTATTATATATCCTATATATGTGCTCTTTATACGTACTTTCCTCATATTTCTACTTGGTTCTTTGATTTCTAGCTCTTGCATCATGCTGCTCACACTGTTCCTTATATCAAGTTTATTGATCATCCCTATTTTAGGTCCTTGACCTATCTGTTCCAAAGTTTGGTTTCAGAGGGTTTGTGTTTGTTCAGTTTGTGGTCTTTTATTTTAGTCTAATTATAGAGACTGCAGGCTATTTCCTTGGGTATATGTGCCACCCTACCTGCTAATAGGTCATGAGGAAGGCTAAGAGCCAGGTTCTCTTCTGTTTCAGCTCTGGGGAGCCTGAAGGATAAGCAGGAGAAGAACCCCGGGCACCACAAAGCTACCTTTGAAACCTTTACCAGGCGATTCCCACCTTCCCACCTTTAAACTTCCCACTTGAAACACCTTGAAACACACACACGTGCGCACACACACACACACACACATATATATGTGTGTGTGTGTATATATATATATATATATACATATATATGTATATCTTAGAAAAATGCTGTTCCCAGAAGGATGCAGTGAAAAGAATGTGACTCTGGAGG